GAAGTGCTGTGATTATATTCTGCATTACTGAAGAATGTTCCCATGTTTATGTGGTCAAATGGAGGATTCCCACCTTCTGCAAGCAACATGAGTGATTTCCACTTTTTTTTGTGGCTCAATAAATGATTCCCATTCTCTTTAACATCTTTACTGAATAAATCCCACTGCCTGCAGCTTTAAAGACAGCCCATGTCTCTCAAGATCTTTATTAAATGATTCTTACTGTCTAAAGCATTAAAGACAAATTTGTGTTGTTAAGGGCTTTACTGAGTGGTTGTATAACCCAGATCCTGATTTCTTTTACAGATTTCACAAGACAATTTGTCCTGTCTGTGGTGCTAATAGCAATCCCTGTGTTTTTTTGGCCTGGATGAGTTCTGCTGTCTGTGCTCTTAATAAATTGTTCCTGCCTTTGTTATGGTTTGAATAAAGAATCTTAGTTTCTTCTGCTGCATTCATATTCTTCTGCTTTATTTCAGTTAGACTTTATCTGCTAAGGCTTCATATTTGCCCCAATATCACTTTAATTCTAGTTTTGTGACATTCCCAATGCTGCAATCCCATTTTGAAATTGCTTCTACGGCCCTGAATTTCTCTCGCTGCGTCTCCTGTGCATGTTTACAAAGTTTACAACACTTGTTCTGAGCCATAAGTACTCTGCTTACTTCTACTCTCCCTTAGCATGTAACTACATCACATTAATAAAGGTTTCACCCTTGCACATCAGGGATTTTGAATTTACTCATGGAGCCTCTGATGTCTATTCACTTTCTCGGTGAACTTTGATGTGGGGCCACTCCAACTGCTCACTGATGCCTCGACTGGAAAAGGAGACCCATGAAAGAGGGCATCCCCCTGTTTCTTCCCTGACACTCAAATTTACCTACCAGGCTTGCCATGTCTTTCCCAACCAGCTGGTCTAACAGATGCAGCTGAGTATAAAATGGCTATTCATTGGCTATTTAAGGGTCTCTTGGCACTGGGGCAGACTGGCAGCCCGACGTCTTGCCTGCTGCATGTTAGATCATAGCCAAGTAAGGGTCAAAGAAGATAAGGTGCAACTAAAGACTTGTAAAATTTCTACACTGCTCTAAACCAATAAGTTTATGTTCTCCACTAAACGAGGAAATCGTGTTGAAATCTCCAGGGACAGTCATGTTATTGCGATTTCCTGCTTGGTTCGCTGCCTGCTATCACTCCCCACTCGCATAACTTTATCACTCCACAACATTCCTGAAGCTTTTCAGATCCAGTTTTCCCACCCTTGGCACGATAGCAGAATACCCTGGGGACTATGACGCAGGAAATGCAATAGTTTCTGACATAGAAAACACATTTCAAACTCTGTCACAATGGCTTAGCTTCTAATCACTTCCTGTACCTCAGTGAGGAACAATGGCAAAAGACTCATGCAACAGTGTAACTTTACAGAAGAGATAGAGCAAACAAAACTTAAAATGCTAATTGGCAGATCCTTTGTTAAAAGAATTGAGTGAGCATACATTTAATATTTACATACAGTAAAGGATGCTTTATAGAATCATAGAATCCCTACAATGCGAAAAGAGGTTGATATGAAATGTTCCATATAATAATTTAAATAATATTGGGCATTTTAGGTTGCATAAACAACAACTTGCATTTGTATATCACCTATAAAGTAGTCCATCAGTGTTCGCTTCACTTTAGTGAAGCGTTAGCCAACAAAATTTGACAAAAGCCACAGGAGGTGATTTTGGAATCATTGATCAAAATCTTGGTTGAAGAGATAGGTTTTGAAGAGTGCCTTAAAGGAGGAGAGACGGGGTGGAGTTGTTTAAAGTAGGAATTTCAGAGCCTTGGACTGAGGTAACTAAAAGCTTGCCCACCAAAGGGGGGTGTTGAAGATCAGTGATGAGCAATGAATTGCAGAGCATAGAGACATCTGAGGGTTGTAGGACTGGCGGAGTTTATAGAGGTACAGAGGGTGGAGGCTATGGAGGGATGAAAATTGAAATATGAGGGGTTTATCAGACCTGATTCCCCCATGTCAAAATAGAGCTCGCATTTACAGTCACCATCCCACAAACGATGTAGCAATATGTTGGATGCTGTTGTATGTCATATGCGGCACCGTAAGCTAGCATGCCCATACAACAGATGCATTATCTGAACTAGCCTCAACACATGCAAAGACAGTTCAGTAGCTGTTGTACGAAAAATGCCTCAGGCATGTTACCAGGCATCTCTTGCCAATTTTGTTTCAACAATGAGCCAATTTTCCCTCAAGAATTATTAACTTGGAGTAGCTTTTCAAAAAAAAAGCCTCTCTGTTTCTGCTTTAGTTGTGTCAACATTGCAGACTCATGCCTCATTCAGTGATATGGGTAGCTCTCTTGACAGCTCTCAATTAGCAAGAAATGGGCTAAAGACTTTTAAAGGAATGTGGCTAAAATTCCAAAGATAACACTGGGACAGTCCATGTCCTGCTGTCTTAGCATGGGGAGCATTTGTTATACACTCCTGAAGTTCTAGAACTGGTGGCAGTGAACTTTTTGCTGGACTTCTGCAGTCCACGGAGTGCACATCAATAGGACAATTAGGGAAGTGTTCCAGAAATTTGACCCATTGGCAGTGATGGAAGTGTGATATAGTGCCAGGTCAGGATGATGTGTGATTTGATGGGGAACTTGCAGGTGTTGGCTTTCTGTTTGACTTTGTCCTTCTAAGTGGTGGGTTTGGAAGATGCTGGCCAAGCAGCCTTGATGAGTTGTGGCAATGTATCTTGAATATTGTAGACTGGTGACACAGCACACTGGTGGTGGATAGGAGATTGTTGAGGGTGATGGATAGGGTGCAAATCAAATGAGCTGTTTTGTCTTAGATTGTATCAAATATCTTGAGTGTTTTTGGAGTTGCATCCATTCAGGCGAATGGAAACTATTGTATCAAACTCATGACGTTTGCTAATGGTAGACAGAATTTTAGGACTCAGAAGACGAGTTACTCATCACAGAATTCCCAGCCTCTGAACTTTTCTTGTAGCAACTTGAGCACCATGATAAATGATAACTCCCAGGACATTGATAGTGGAGGATTTAGTGATGGTGACACCATTAAGTGCCCTTTATGCTAGAATGTTTCCAAACACTGGAACCTTTTCCCACATTTACCCATTGAGTTCAGTTTTGCTAGTCTTGCTTGGTCCATACCCGATTGAATGCTATTTTGGTATCAAGGGCAGTCATGCTATTCTCTTCACTTGAGTTCAGCTATTTTTCCCATTTGAACAAAGGTCAAAGTCAGGAGCTAAGTAGCTTTGGCAGAACCCAAACTGGCTATTAGTGAGCAGGTTTTTGCTGCCTAAGCGTTGCTTCACATCACTGTCAATTACACTTCCATTACTTTGTTCCTGATTAAGTTAGCTCTAAGGACTATAATTGGTCAGATTGGATCTCTTTTACAGACCAGTATACCAGGGCAATTTCCGTTCTGAGGAAGGGTCACCGGATCCAAAACGTTAACTCTGTTTTTTCCTTCACAGATGCTGCCAGACCTGCTGAGCTTTTACAGCAACTTTGTTTTTGTTCTTGATTTACAGCATCCATAGTTCTTTTGGTTTCAATTTCCACATTATTGGGTAGATGCCAGTGTTGTAGCCGTACTGGAACAGTTTAATTAAGGGTGCAGCTAGGTCTTTGGTACGAAGATCTGTGACGGGAGCCTTAACTGCACAGCTACCCACCCAATTAAAGATGCTTGTGGGAACAATTAAGAAGCATGTCTCATCCATGCTATCATTTCACTGGAGAGACCACAAGTAAACCCTGGAAGTTTTATCTGTGGGTTACTGAGGGGACCCACTACACCCCTACAAATGAGGAATGCTAATGGCATATGAACACGCATTTCCCATGCACCCACATCTCACCCAATTACTAAGGCCTGCTCCTTCACCCATGCTTCTTAAGTGTAACTTAACACTGAGGTACCGTCTCTTTGAGTAGTGACCACTGTGGCATTACTGGGGTTGCCGAGCTGCCAGCCCTCTGATTAGGATAGTGGTCAAATTAGCCCAGTCAATGAACAGTCTGCTGGTAGTAAAATACTGCCAATGAATCCACTGACCATTGATGCAAGGTTGGTTCCCATTTTCAGCTCTGGCAGCTGACTCGATAATCATCAGCAGAATTCAGTCCAGACGTTTAACATCACTAAATTATTATTATTTAACATTATTCCTGATTCAAAAACAGAAATTGCTGGAAAAGCTCAGCAGATCTGGCAGCAGATCAGATCAGACCCTGTTCTGAGGCAGGGTCACTCGAACTGAAACATTAACTCTGATTTCTCTTACAGATGCTGCCAGAACTGCAGAGCTTTTCCAGCAATTTCTGTTTTTTTTCTTTTATAGCATCTGCAGTTCTTTCCATTTTTATTATTTCTGATTAAGTTAATTTTTTGGGGACACTGCATCTTATAGCACACTAATTGTCTAATATATTAATAACATTTTAATAATACAGAACAGGAGCATTGCTGAAAAATGACATTTTATCGAACTATTTCATCTTGCACTTAGCAGAATAATTCACAAGACTATCAACAAAGGGAAAGGCAATATAAATGTTGTTTTTCCCCTTTATTGGTTATCTTGCAAAATGTAAAACTTCAACAAAATATGTTTCTTTTTCAGCAATATTCATCACATTTACTCCGTTTAAATGTTCAGTATACTCAGAGTATTGGTCATTTTGCATTGGAAATGGGTAAGTAATTTTAATAGCAGGAAAATACTTTCTCAATAGTGAATAGGAGATGAAAGAGAAGTTTGATCCTTTTTGCACGTGATTTATCATAGTTACATAATCTTTAATACATTTTTCTAGTGATGAATGCAACACATTTAACCACAACCTTCTGAAAATGCCCTCCAGCCTACGTCAACTTTCATTCGTGACTCACAGGATTTAGACAATAAATACAGACGTTGAATTATGTGGATCAGACACAGACTGCAACAATATACTACAGTAAGAAGATAAAGAATATTGCACAAGTAAATCACAATGAACAGCAAAGTGACTGTCCTTAACCTTACTCTCTTTGTACTTTATGTGGCTTCCACACAAGGTAAGAAATGAACAAACTCTAGAATTGAATGTTATTTATTCAGAATCTAGAATTAAATTTGCAATTTGCATGCAAACAAGATTTATCCTAAAGTTCTTGTTTTGAATTACTGTCGCAATTATCCATTCATTTTTCATGATACATTGAAATGGAGGCAAGTAGAAATCTACAGTGATTTGCATTTTTAGTTAAATTTTCTAGAGAAAGTTCAATTTCAATGGACAGTGTTAATGAACAGGATGCTTTTCACTTCATTCATGGATGTGAGCCTAACTTGCTCAGCCAACATTAAATGCCCATTCTGAATTGCTTTCAAGAATGTGATAATGAGTTGTTTTCTTGAATCACCATAGTTCTTCGAGTGTAGGTGTACCTATTCTAAGTTAACTGACAATAGCAGGAATATAGAAATAAAATTTCAGTACAAATGAGGAGGTACACCTCTGAAAAAGAAAATTCAACTCTGTTTTCAAAATTAGTCACTTGTATATTTTGATATTTGGTTGCATCTATTGGAATAATAGGAATGAGCCTGCGCTGTCAGTGCATCAAAACAGCTTCAAAATTCATCCATCCACAATTCATGGAGAATATTGAACTCATTCCAAGTGGGCCCCACTGTGAAAATGTGGAAATTATGTAAGTACTTACAACAAAATATTTATGAATTTTGTTTTTTTAGAAATGACATTTAAATATTGTTTTGATAAAATATTGTTTTAAAATATAGTCAGAATAGAAAAAACAACATGTAATTCGTACAAAATAGACTTGTTTAAAATGCTACAGAATTGTCCACTCATTTAGATAACTGGCTCTTCAACATTTAGAGTTTTAAATCTACACCTTATTTGTTAAGGAGAAAGAAATTACTTGAAATGGTCGCTGGTAAAATTTCCTTTAGACTCAAACAGAATGCAATTTGTTTATAGAGATGCAATTCATGTAAAGAAACCCAGAAACCCAGATTCAAGTGTTTACAGATTTCACAGTACAATAGGCATATTGCTGTGCTTTGCAACATTTGTAACATGGAACTCAGGTACAACTTTCTGATGATTAAATAAAACTCATCTGCCCATTTTGGTTTGCAGAGTTATCTGCAGTCAAATCAGACAAGTCCAGCACCCACTGATGGGTTTGCCTCACCATAACCAATCAACAAGCCAAGAGATAACAAGGTGTAGAGCTGGATGAACACAGCAGGCCAAGCAGCATCAGAGGAGCAGGAAAGCTGACATTTCGGGCCTAGACCCTTCTTCCAACATTTTAGCATTGAATTGTAAATTCTGCCAAGAAAAGATTAATCCCTCAGTAACTGGCATATTATTGCAAAACTTGTGTGACACTAAAAAAACTCCACTTGGCTTTCTTCCCCATCGGCAATAGTCATTTATTAATCATTGTATGTTTGTCAGGGCATGGATTTTAACCCTTGCCTAGAGAATTGCACTTATTGGGAGCCCCACTGATTGGCTTGTGAGCAATGCAACTTAAAATGAAATGCATGAATCCATTGCCACTAGTTTCTTGGACACAGCACAGAAATGTATCATAATCCATCTTGTCAGGAGATTGAAACTAATTTCATGCTTTTTGACAAACTCAGTAACCTAAAATAGGTAGATCAATATTATGTCACTGGTTACAGTTCATAGTTTTAACACCAATATCTTAACTCCCTGAAACCTAATCAATGTGTGGGCCAAATATTTCAGCAATGTCTACATTCTCAGCTCGTCCCAGGCACTGTCATTCACTGATACAGAGTTTGTTCTTCATCTGTTTGGAAGGTGCCTGCTTTATGCTGGATACAGAATCTGTGCTTGACAGTTTGCAACATGACAACTGTCTTGATGTCATTAGTTTCATGTCCAATCCATGCCACAGAATTAGTTACCAGTGATTTAATCCATTTTCCCAGAAACAGCATTACCAGAAAAAATATAGCCAGGGTTTCATGATACTACAATGATGCTAGCTAACTGCTGTATTAGTGCTTTTCTTTTCAGTTATTCACAATCTCACATCACAGATTTATCATAGATCTCACACTGGGGACTGCTGTCAAGTGCGCAACACCCCTAAACTGGGAATGATGCTAAAATAGACAGTTAAGAATTGCAATAACATTGTACTCATGATGTTTCGTTTTACTCCATGATCTGATAATGGACAGACAGTTTGAAATATATGTATTTTTTACTTCTTTAGTGTCACTCTTCAAAACAGTGATCGAGTTTGTCTGAATCCCAAATCTCCATGGGTGCACAAAATTATTGACAGAATAATGAGTCGGTAAGTTTCTACTCCTGTACAGGCCAAGAAATGGGAAAGGGACAGCGTTTGCACTGTGCATCCAGTTAGAGCAGAAAAAAGTCCTTGGCGTATAGCATATAGTGCGAATCCCTTTGAATCATTACATGTACCTTGCAGAAAGAACAGAATGTCAGATGGCATCCAAGATTGTATGATAGAAAGTATATCAAGGAAAATTTAGTGATCCACAGTCTGCTCTGGGATGCTTATTTGAAGATGTTTAATTAGAAGGTTAGGAGTTTGGGGAAAAACGTTATTGAGCTGCCTCTCCTAATTGCTTGAGTGCAGTTGCTGTCAGGAGCATAGGATTGCTGCATTTATATCAGTGTTTTAATGCTTAAAGACCAGAAATTCACATCAGTCCTTGACTACCTCAAAACTCCAGCTCCTTGTGGACCAAAATCTATACCTCAATTGTTTTGTTAATTTTCATATATTCTACAGTTCCAAGAAAACTACTAAAGATCAATGAAGATAACTTCACTGCAAGATTCTGAAGAAGCCTACAAATACCATTTCAAGGACTCTGTACACCTCAAGTCTTCATATTTGCTTACCATCTTGTTCAGATTTTCCAAGATCAGAACAGCAAATTAATGTATAACTGTCTGAAGTCAACATTTAATATAAATGTATTTATTTATTTAACAATGTTTGCACTTGAGAATGAAACACAGATTCTTTCTCTTTATTTTAAAGTGTACCCTGTACCATTGTATCTGATTGAGAGAATCTTGTGGCTGGAAATCAATTGGACATGTGGTTTTCATATGAGAAATAGCAGTATTTGTTGCATAAGTAGTTAATTATATTGATAAAATTGTTGGTAGATTGTCATTTGGCAGAACTACATCGATTTCTCAGGTTGCACTCTGCTGTTATCAGTGAAAAACAACGTTTACAACATTCCTTTATTTGTCAGCAAGGAATCAACTACCCTAACATCATTTTATTAATATTAAATATTTAGCCATAGTTTGGATGCAAACAAATAGAGTTCTCTGCTTCAATATAAGCAGAAGTCACAGGTTTACTAAACACTGCCACGAATATATTATTGAGTAAGCAGTCCTCTCTAGTCAGTCCCACAGCATAATGTTGAGGTTATCATATACTTTCACGTTAGTGGTCACATTAAGATGTTGCAGGGTACAGCGGAAATGTTATTTATCACTGTGACCCATTGTCAGTAATGTGATTCTGAATGGCTCAATTATTAACTGCAAGCCACCATTTTAGTTTATACACTTCAGTATTTATGAATACTCAATTTTCTATTAAGTATCTATTTTGCACAGGGAATAATAACATAATGTTATAAAAACTGTTTTTTCCAATCAATTTACTTTTTTCTAGTGTATTGCACTGCTTGGAACTTTTAATTTTATCAAGAAATAAACTATTTCATGTATCTAATGCTTAAAATGTGTAATGTCTTGCTTTGTAAACAATTGACTTTATCTTAAAAAAATAAAATATTTTGAAGTTGGCTGAGAACAAGAATACGAATTTACCGTGTAATAAGTTCCATCATATAACCAGACCACAGAGATTAACAAAAAGAACAGAACCATGATTAGCCCCCTCCAGAGAGACATGTACGAAATAGGATCTAGGGAATCCATGCCCAGCAGTAACATAAAACTCATAATAATGATGATTGCCATGCTTCAGAGATTAATTGAATTCTCAGGGAGTGATGGGTTCATTTCCTATGTTTTGTTGCGAGTAAATTGTGGGAGATTACAAGAAGTAGATATTGTGGATTGCACATTCTACCAGCAATTTGTGATTTTCTGAATTGAATTGAAACAGCTTCCTAATTCTTGAATTTCTTGCAATGGGATTAACAGCCTCTAGCACCAAACTCTCTCTCTCTCTTCTTTTCACCTCCAATCTCTGCTGCTCCCTTCTATTGTTTCCCCCTTCGTGTTGATACACTCACTGTTGCCCTCTCTCTGCTTTCCAGCTAAAATACAATAAGCAGCATATTTCTGCTGCTGGTCACACTGTTCCTTGTCCATAGCACCACCTGATGTAAATGAATAAACCTCCGAAGTGTAAAACATAACTTGCCACCAGAAGTGCTATCAGTAAATACCTTCCCACAGCAGGGAAAAAGCAGTGTGAGTACTGAGTATACATTGCAGTATTTCCTGGTGCCTGATCCAGCTTTCTGAATTGCTACTGTGGTCTCATCTTGCTTTTGTTGGTTCACCAAGAAACCCTGAATGTGCTGTAAAATTTGAAAGTGAGTTGAAAAATATTGCTCCACATGTGCTAATAGGCATCCTGCCTCTCTTTGAAGGGGTTGTATTGAAGCAGCCTAATGCTCGAGTTAAACCTGGAAGGTTGGAGCAGACAGTTTCCCAGCACAGTGACCTTTTGCCAGTTTTAAACACTCACTGCACCCAAACCCATGTAGTCATCCAGATTAAAATGCCTCTCAATGGCCTTATTTTTGTAATGAAATATTAACCTCTCTGAATAAATAACATCCTTTTGAATTTAATTGTTCAAAAAATGTAATCAATTTGCTTAGACACACCCCTATGGCAGGTGGGTTGAATTCAACTGTATTTACATTAATCAACCTGTTGGCCCTCTTGTGGTGCAGGGGTACTGTCCCTACCCCTGCTGTTAGAGACCTGGGTTCAAATCCTACCTGCTCCAGAGCTGCATAATAACATCCCTGAGTAGGTTGATTAGAAAAATAGATTAATATACAAATTTTTTAAAAATTAATCAGTCTGTTAGAGTGCTTGTGCACAGTTGTAGTGTCCTTGCCTCTGGGCCAGAAGGTCTGGGTTCATGTCTTATCTGCCCCAGATGTGTCCAAACAGGTTAATTAAGAACAGTTTAGTCAATTTCAAAAACAAAAACTGAAATTGCTAGAAAACCTCAGCAGGTCTGGCAGCATTCAGACTTAATGTTTTGGGTCCAGAATGTTCTGAGGAAGGGTCACTGGACCCAAAACATTAATTCTGACTTATCTTCACAGATGCTGCCACACCTGCTGAATTTTTTCCAGCAATTTTTGTTCCTGTTTCTGACTTACAGCAACCGCAGTTCTTTCGGTTTCAACTTAGTCAATTTGCCCTGATACACCTTGAGGGTTGGTGAATGTTGAACCCAGACATTCTGGCCTAGAGGTAGAGAAACTACAAATGCACCACAAGACTCTTACAAAATCAATTTTGCATTTAGGGATTGTTTATCCAGTTGTGAAACCACACATTAACAACGAGCTATGGTGCATAGGCAGGTTCACTGTTCCGAGAACTCTGCGTGGCAACATAGGGGGAGGAGCAGACCAGTCAGTCCCTAAGCCTACTGCATGAAGTTGTAGCTGTTGTTTAATTTTTACGTGGAATGTTAACCTCTATAACTAGGCAGGAGTTCATTAACATCAGCAACAATACACCACAATTAATATGGTTCAGCCCTTGCTGTGACTAACAGGACAATCCCATCACTACAGTTACGGATGGACTCACTGGTGCCTCAGCAGATGGGATGAGTGAGCAAATCTCTTCCTGCACATGGAGCAGGTGAAAGACCTCTCCCCCAGTGTGAACTCACTGGTGCCTCAACAGCACCTCTGCTCCATCCATTTGACTTGGCTACACATCCTGCAATAGCTCTGAGTAGCAAAATTCTACTAATCTTAGATTTAAAATGACAGCTTCTGCTTTTTATGGAAGAGAGTCCATGCTTATAAAATCTTTGTGTGAGGAAATGGTTTCTAATCTCTTACCTTAATGACTTGGTTCTTTTAAAATTATGTCGTCTTGTCTTAGGTTTCCTAATCAGCAGAAAAGGTTTCTGTCCAGGTCTCTCCAGTCTCTAGTAATCTGCATTGCACTCTGTCCTTTGTGACTGCATCCTTTATAGTGTGAGGCAGCCAGAACTGTACACAATACTTCCAATGTAGTCTAAGGTGAGCTTTGCTTAGAAATCTTTACTCCCTTCATATTCTAATCGATCAGTACTACTGATCATTAGTTTCATTGATTAGTCTTTGCATGTCCCTATTACATTTTATTAAACTTACGTGAAGTACCTGGATAGCTTAATGGCAGATGTAACCTTTCAATATTTATAAGAATGTTTAGATTTATCCTATTTGGTCCAAATTGATTGGTTTAATTTATGTGTATTAAATTTCATCTGCTACAGTTTTGTCCATTCACTTACTCTTTCAATGTCCCTTTGTAATTTTATGTACCCAACTACAATAATTACTATACCACCAATTTTTGTGCCATATGCAAATTGGATTGGCTATATTGTTATCTGAATCCTTAGCAATAGTAATAAATAGTCCATGCTCCAACACAGTTCTTTGTCTCCCGTTTCCTCACTTGAATTTGCAATATTACCCATCAGCTTTTAAACGTTCACAATTGCCCTTGGCTACCTTTTCTCTTTTAATACGTGTAAAAATCTTGTGTCTTCCTTGATAGTTTCCTTTGATCATCTCTTTTTGAAGCACTTATTGTTTTTTGTTGTTCTTTGCTGTTCTTCTTATCTCTGTTAGTCCTTTACACTATTCCCTGCAATTTTATATGCTCTTTAGTTTTGTTAATCTCTTTTGTTAAACTTGCCTGCCTGTTTTATTTGACGAGTAGATCTCCTACCTTTGAGAGGTCCTGTTTAAGTGTTTTATTTAGTATCCCCACTCACTACTCATCTATAGTTTCATTCAACAACAGTTTTGACCAGTTTGCTGTGATTTAATTATCCACCTCTCTTCTGCTCTGACCTTTCTGTCTGTGTCATGCTACAGTGTTCCAAAGAAGCTCAACAAAGCTTGAAGAAAAGCATCTCATCTTTTGACTGAACACTTTATGGTCTTCTGAACTTAACATTGAGTTAAATAATTTTAGATCGCAATTTCTGCCAAATATTTTCTTTGTGCTTCTTCGTTGGTTTGGTTTATTAATCTCTTTTTCTTTTTTTTGTTCTGATAGCAGTTATTGGACCATTCACTATCCTCTAGATATGTTTTTTTAACATATCCCAATACCATTCTCTTGGGACTTAAACTGTGTAATGTCATTTAATCTAAACTGCCCTCCACACTATTACATATCTTCATTTTTTGTTTTTCTTCCCACCTTCCTACTTTCACTTCTTCAAAACTATTAGATTTCTAAATTTCCCAGTCCTGACGAAAACCTGCAGATCTGAAATGTTTAATACTGTTTCTCTCTCCATGGGTTCTGCCAGACCCATTGAGTATTTTCAGCATTTTCTGCTTTATATCTGATTTCTAACATTAGATTTTGTCTTCCTGTGATCATTGTCTCAGCCCACTAATCTAATCATACCAAAATCCAAAATCCTCATAAATGTGTTAAATGTTTTCTTTTCAAACGTAACATTAAATTCAATCATATTACGATCACAATGAAGTAAACTTCATTCAAGAGGTACCTGATATATTTGGGAATTCCTCTTTTTCTATAATAAAGTCTTCTGATAATTCACAAATTCTTTCTAAACATCAGCCTGTAACAAGCATGTTGATGCCACTTGAAATATTTCCATCAGTTTATCATCATCAGATAGCAAAATTGTTGCTGCTGTCACTATAATCAGTTGAGAAACCCATTGAGTCGAACAGAACCAAACCAGATCCTTCAGTCCAACCAGTCCATGCTGGCCATGTTCCCAAACTAAACTAGTTCCACTTGCCTGCATTTAACCTATATCCCTCCAAACCTCTCTTATTTATGAACTTATCCAAATGTCTTTTAAACATTGTAACTGTACCTGCATGCACCACTTTCTCTAGCAGTTCATTCTACACACTAACCACCCTTTGTGTAAAAAAAGTTGCCCCTTATCTCCTTTCTAAATCTTTCTCCTCTCACCTTAAAAATATGCCTCCAAGTTTTGAATTCCCCAAATTCTATAATTCAGACAATGAAAGCTATAGAAGAATATATTTAGCAGCTTGGATTGTTAGGAAAATCTTCAAGTGCTCTCATCACTAAATTCGTTCACAGGATCTAAGTAAAACTGCTTTGCATCAATTCATTCCCCTCCCATGTTGAAGTATTAATTGCATTTATCTCTACAATTAGATCCAGTCTGCACTCAGGCATGTGTGCAGGAAAACATCTAGCATACCTTCAAAACTGCAGAAAATTGGCAAGTTCAAAAGTTCTTGCATGATTATTTCTAAAATGAATCTCTTTATGAAGGCTGTACTGTTATCATTGATTTGCCATCCAAGTTGTCAATAATACTGTTTTCTTTTCATAGCATTCTTACAGAATCAGATGTGCCTAGGGATCTTCAGAAGAAGTAACAAATTAAATTGGCAAGTTTCCACTAGTTACATTATGAATTCAAACCGCTCATGCTTAACATTCATAGCTTCCTACCATTTCTAGACCCATTTCTAGGC